CGGGCGCAGCGGGTGCAGCGGGTGCAGCGGGCACACCGGGGGCATTGGGAGCGAAAAATTCATCTGCGGAGAGGGCATTAGGCCATCGGATTCTTGCCAAATTCCCTGTTACTTGGGGGCAAGTATTCAACGCATGTCTCTGCTCAATGGTTAAAAGTCAGGCATATGACAAAGTTTAAATACTAACCTTGAGCCCATCGGCAACCGTGAAAGTGCGCGAACACCGCGGGCACTTGAAGTACTCGAGTTCTACGCGGTTGACGATGAAACTGTGCGGATAATCTCTATATCGAATCTCGACCGAATTCTCATGGAACCGGCGGTAGTGGGGGAGGTATCGCCCCAGGCGATTTTCACAGCATATGTTACAGTGAAAGGACGTGCTGGGGGGTCCCCGCGGGCGATCAAGGGGCTTCTTCGGACGCACGCGCATGGCGTGCCAGATAGAGTAGAGGGAGGAGGAGATAGAGACGTACGTGAAGCATGCCTTGGATGGGCATGCTATAAGCCTGATGTGCGGTGGTATAAAGACGTAAAGGAAGAGGGGAAGAAAGGAAGGGGGGTTTGCAGCGAGGCCGTCGACGCGGCTCCACTTCATTTGCTTGTCGGCTTCACAGGCTCCTCACCTCTGCACCCGCTTCTCGCCTCTGCACCCGCTTCGTCTCTGCACGCTCACTGTTCGCGCGCCATCCCTTCTGTGCGGGCACATGATACCATCGACCGCTCGTGGTTCCTCCACAAACGATACATCCGGCGACCGCGGCTGGCCAAGCTGGAGAGAAAGGAGCGAAAGAGGAGCGAAAGAGGAGCATGCGCAGAGGCGAACCAAGGAGGAGGACACGCGCGTGCGGACGAAGCAGAACAGAAGATGGAACTTCACAAGACGTTAATGATCGAGAGGGCTGCATGCATATGCATCGGCTTCATCGACTGTGTGAACGCTAACTGCGCAGACAGTGACTCGAATCGGTGCAGCACAGTCATACGATCGCTATGGCGCTCGCACGTTTCTCACCAAACAACATTGTTTAAGATCTGCCGATTTGAACCAGCCTATCGCTGAGCCTCAACCGGTGCGTGTACATGAACAGTGCGTGCTACGACTATATCGCCCTCTCTTCCCCGAACTACCCTCTTTACAGATGGACTCATCCTCATTCTCGCCGGATATCACCTGGCCAGCCATCGATGAAACCCTCATCAACACGACACTCACCTCCTCGCCCTTCGTGCTCGTCGAGGGCGTCATTAACATCCGCGACTTCGGCGCGCGCTATCTGGCCGCCTCGCGCATCGTCAAACCCGCCGTGCTCTTC